TCACATAAATAGCACAAAGAAGTGAACACTTCAGTGAACAATCCATAATGCTGAAATGCTGAAATATAAGTCATCCTGACTCATCCTGCGTACATATATATATATATACGCCATATATCCTGCAGAGCGCTGTTCATATATCCTGCGGTCCCGCTGGGAGCCGCTCCGTCCTGCACGTTCTCTTCGGACGCGGACATGTCAAGGGCTCCTGCCAGCCTCGGATGCTCGAGCCAAAAAGTTTCCTGATCAATATGCATTCTATTGAAACGGCGTGGGAAAAAGCATATGCACAAATTGCCTGCTTTCCGTTACATGTCCTTTGCTTTTCTATCCAATATGCTTTTCAAATTTCTGAACACAAGAGGAAAGGGTTACACAAACATGGCACACCCAGGGTCCCGCAGGGAGCCCTTGCCACTAGTCGAAATTTCTTGAAATGAAATGAATGCATTCTCACCCGTGGCTGCAGAAACGCTGCATGTATGCAGCGGTGAGGTGCCCAGTGGCTGTGAGTGGCTGGTCGAATGGCTGCGCGAGTGGCGGCGCGAGTGGCTGCATGAGGCTCGAGCGGCTGCAAGTGGCTGCTCAAGTGGCTGCAAGTGGCTGCGCAAGTGGCTGCGCAAGAGTTTGTGCAAGTGGCTGCCCAAGTGGCTACTCAAGTGGCTGCTCGAGTGGCTGCTCAAGTGGCTGCAAGTGGCTGCTCAAGTGGCTGCAAGTGGCTGCAAGTGGCTGCGCGGCTGCAAGTGGCTGCTCAAGTGGCTGCTCGAGTGGCTGCTCAAGTGGCTGCAAGTGGCTGCTCAAGTGGCTGCAAGTGGCTGCGCGCTCAAGTGGCTGCAAGTGGCTGCAAGTGGCTGATTTTTAGAAATTCAATATGTGCGGTTCCTGCGTGCTCAATGGGAATGTTCCTAAATGGACGAAGGACTTCTTTTCAGGCGCTGTCTGTATCTAAGTTCGTGGGTACCAGCGATGGCCTCCAACCTAATTGAAACTACCAGCAATGGCCTCCAACCAAATAGCGGGCTCTAGAACAGTTCAATCACCTTGGACCTTGGACGACAAATAAAAATATACATTCCGGAAACGCGGGCACCTCAGGTTGAACTTCCCTCAGCGGTTTTGCCCGTTGCGTGAATGTGCACAAAAATGATTAAATCAGCAGTATTCCGTTGGAATGCGCCAAGTTGAGCAGATTGTTGTATGATGTTGTATGTGATTACAGCTATCTTCTTGGGGGGTATCCCTTTACAAGGTGTGGTGCACTATCTCGGCACAACTGTTCCCTCCCTACTAAAGTGATCTACTGTAATTTTTGCGGTTCTCGTGCGAAAAACCTTTGCATTCACTCCATTCCGCAGTGCTTCCAATCTTGCCACTCCGACCCTATCTCCCAAACTCAGGGACTCAAGAGATGATCCACA